AAATAATGGAACGGGCATATATTTCTGTTGCAAACCTGGGTTGCCTTGTGCTCTTTTTTCACAAAAAACATTAGAAAACCGTAGTAGAAAGCGTACTAAATTTCTGAAGAACTGCGTACTGTCTTAAGGAAATTTGACTCAAGAACATTTCTTAGCCATTTCTTGTACGTCATTTTATATGGAGTTTTTGCTTTTCTTAAGAGCTGGATACTAAGCTTTAAGGTTTACACAATTATAATAGCCCGAACACAATGAAAACGACGAGCTACAAACCACAGCTGTCAAATTATTTTAACACGTACTCTTATGTAGATAATTATTTTGGCGACGACCGGGCTACGCGACGGCTGTGGTTGTGGCCAGATTAGATCTATTTCTATTTTTCTGGCGACAGATAAGGTTCTTCCTCTTCTTTTATGTCAAACTCATACAAATTCATGATGTCGCTGCCGCGTTCAAAGAAATCATGTCGCCATCGACAAAGCGCTTAGATAATAAAGATGACAAATTGGAAGCTGTGGTCGGTAGCTCGTCGTTTTCAATGTGTTCAGAACTTGAGTTTATACGGTTTACAATAGTGGTATTCATCTAAACCGATAACTTTATCAAGCAGATAATCTTATAAGTTTATGCACTCCCCTGCAAGAACACTGACCATCATATGATTGCTCATCTGAGCTAAAGTGCTAAACGAAATTTCAATCAGTTCGCAGAACAAACTTTCAATCAGTTTCTTAAGGACAATGTGCAAAAACTGATGTAAAGAGTTGTGTGCGTGTGATTGGGTATCACCTTCTAACACATTACCATATCGACCCTGTCGACATATAGCTGTCGTGCTCGTGCTTATAAGTTCTGTTTTCATTCATGATGTAAGTTTTAGTCAGAGGTGAGCAATCAAGACTGACGACGAAATCAATCACAGCTGAGCAATCAAACCTGATGTAGAAAGCGTTCAAAGCTGAGTGATCAGACCTGATGTAGAAAACAATCAAAGATGAGGGATCGAACCTGATGTAGAAAACAATCAAAGATGAGGAATCAGGGGTGATGTTAAGATCCATCAAATTAAAATATTACACGAATAAATTACTAAATGTTACATAAAAATACAAATAAATATTACATAAATTCATTCATATTTCTACAAATTTGCAATTTTTTTTATTTAAACGAACAGTATAACTTGTTTCGCACAAAGTTTCAAAATTTAATTTTTGTTTGGTTTTTGCTGTATGTAAACCATATTTTTATAAAAGTTAACGGAAAAAATTATGTTAAAAAATGTTGCATTAATTGTGAAAAAATCTGTGGCAATACTTGTTTCATTAAAAAAAATTTTTAGCTATAGCTTCATGCTAGTAGTAAGTTAATGTTGAAAAAAGGGGTTGAAAAGAATAAAAACTAATTAATTATTAACTTTAAATTTAAGTTTAATGAGCCTCCTTCTTCGACTTCTTTGCAAATTTTTTTTGCGACATCCGGTGATGGCTAAGTTCCACTGCTTTTTTAACGCCTCGTTCAAAATCGAAACTTCCTTGTAGTTTGAAGATTTCTAAATGAAACAATGAATACATGTATTACAAAATTATAGTTTATGATACTCAATTGAAATTACTTACCTCGTAGAATGGAATCAAACAGCTTAAGCTTGACCAGGGCCTTCTTTTCGCATCTGCCATCGCAGTTGTAGGCGCCCATCAATTTATCCGTAAAAATCTGTCTGACGACGGACGGAACATCTTCGGAAACCCCTTTAATTTTATGCAGGTGTGATGTCTACAAATTTTAAAATTAAGTAAAAACTATAACATTTTAAATTTTCACCTCAATTACCATTGCCCGCGCGTACTCCGGTATTTTAAGATTGTCCTCCACATTTAACACTGCTATTGAGGTCTGGAGAGGCAATGCACTCGCAACGTCGTCCATATGCTTATCTCGCAGCTCGCCTGTCATTCGACAGACGGAATGTTCTACCTTCTTAATCGAGACTTTGCATTCCCGTAATAACTGGTGCTGTGCCGATGTTTCGCATTTGGGTGTGGACTATTTGAAATAAGTTTTTATTATTTTAATACAAATATAGGTAAATATATAAGTAGATATCTCAGAAATAACAAATTAAATGAAGCAATACTCACATTTTCCATAATATAATTCAATTTTTCACATATCAGCGATTGGTTTTCGCTCAATATTTGTTGCTAATATGAGTGGATAAAACGATTATGACATATGACATTTAAACCAACGAAATCATAGCTAGGGTACATTTCAAAGCGCACAATGCCATTCTCTCTTATTTCAATACAACATAATATGTATAATAATTGAAAGTGTTTAATATGCGCATTATATGTACATAGGTGCCTCGCAGCTTTTTACGGATATTAAGGATTACGAAATAAGAGTGGTGGGCTCTTTATATAAGAGAGTTTTGAAATGCACCTACTTACATTCATTTCGATCGTTTGTAGTTTTATCAGCAGCGCTTGAAGTACATCTACGTCTGTAAATATTTCGACAAAAATTTAACATGTATGTTAAGAAAAATAACATATGTATAAGTGTATGTTACCTTCATTGGGCCCACCGACGTTATTGTTGGATGAGACTGTTGTGGAAATACATATTTTGGTACATAGAATTGAGAAAAATAAAACATAAGTTACCTTCATCAGATACATGGACGTTGTTGCTGGATGGGGTAACCGCCTTTGATGAATCCTCTTCATCGTTAAAATTCGAAGTTGTAATGAATCTTTTTACAGAGTTTCCTGGAAAATGTTAAAAATATATACTATACATCTATATATGCCCTATAAAAAATAGTTCTACTTACCATTGGCTTGGGATGCCATAATAGTTCTATTTCCAAAAATAGTATGAAGCCAAATGAGGTATTATAAAATATATTTTTAAATATTAATATTTTATTATTTTTTTTATGGAAAGTGTGGCTTAATTACAAAAGTCGTGGAAAAGATGATGCAGAAGAGGTATGAACAAAAATTTGTTTTCATAGGGGATACAGAAGTATTTATAGTCAATATCACTCCTTTCAATTTTAACAATATCAGAACTGAGATCACTTGCAACAACAATACCTAGACTAGCGAAGGAAGGAACAGGGTCTTCAAAAAAGTTTTCTGTTTTCCTAAAAACCATACACTCAATTACTTCTGAATCTCCTAACCCTACAAGTTCCATTACCTTTATAGGTCCCGCTTTCTTACTGTAGCAAAAACAATCCTTTTCTTTTCTTAGATCAATGTCAAATGCTCCAAACCGAGAAGTCTGCTCCGATGACTTAAGATCTTGCCTTTCATCAAGCCTTAAAAAAATTTGTTGCAATACTTGATTCGGTTTTTTAATTATCTTTTTTAAAAATTGCATAAAGTTTTCAAACCTATAAGCAGAAAATGAATCCAAAGGGCCCAGACTTTTAACGCATTCGGACAAGTGAAGTAAGCCATGAATGTTGAAACTAACTAATTCTTCTCCAAATATCCTACTGAACTCTGCGACAAAGTGTTCCAGCATTTTTTGAGCAATATCGGCCTCCGACCTGAACGATTTTTCACTTGAAAGAAGGCGAATACTACTATGCAAAAGCAAGAAAAGGTAGTACAACTCTCTACTTACGCAATCCTTCAAAATAAAAACGCCTGTGTATAGCAAAAACTGCCTGAACTCCGTTGCTTTCCAATGACTAACTTCATCCAAGCCCCTTGAAATTCGACAGAATTCAGATGGAAAAAAACTGGAAGCGAAACGAATATTTGCATTCATCTTTGTGGTGTTTGCATTTTTGATTAACAGTTTAAGACATTTTTTAACGACACCTAAATCAACCAAATGCAGAGTCAAGAGGAAACTGAGAAACCATTCTAAAGCCAGCGTCTTCTAACACACTTTTCTGATGCCTAAATTGAGCAAGGTGGTGAGAAGCATGAACTCTCTGCTCAAAAGATGAATCCGACTTAAGTTCACCAATTTCTTTGGGAAAACATACTCTTCTCTCTTTATATTTGCCTTCGAGACAACATTTATTACATCCGCTTTTTCCATTAAATGACATAACACCAGAAACAAACGCTCTAGCCGGAGAATCACAAATGAACACCCGAACATCAAACTTTAATA